AGGGGGTTCCCTCTGAACATCAGGAAGCACTTTTTTACTGTGAGAGTGACCCAGCACTGGCGCAGGTTGCCCAGGGAGGTTCTGGAGTCTCCAGCCTTGGCGATATTGAAAAGCCACCTAGACATGGTCCTGGGCAACCAGCTCTAGGTGGCCCTGCTTGAGCAGGCGGGTTGGACAAGGTGACTTCCAGAGGTCCTTTCCAACCTCAATCATTCTGTGATTCTGTGATTTCTGGCCTGATTTACTGCAGTATTAAGATTAAAGTAGTCATATCTCAAACTAGTTATTCCAGATCCCCTTTTAGCCAGTGGAGGAAAAAAAAAAAGAAAAAAGTAATTCTGCTTTTAGAGTGTGATTCATTGCACATTGAAGTAGTCATCCAAAAATAGGTCAGATGGACTGTGCCATAAAAGTGCCAATATGACTGTAAAGGAAACCTGAGGTGATCAGCTTAATTGGAGACAGCTACCCTGCAGCTGTCTAGTGTTAGGTAAGATGAAGCCCAGCCAAAGATTTAATGGACAAGGTGTACTATGCTCTGTATGTCTGCCCAGCGCGCTGCTGACAATTGATCGTGTAGGTGCAATGGATAACGTCCTGCCCAGCTGGGGAGGATGGACAGGACGAGGATCTGGATCAGCGGGTGAGATACTCCATCGCTGTTCAGAATGTTTTTCTTGAGCAGTAAATGGGCAGTGAGGTCTCAGAAGGACTCAGCTCAGAGGCAGCTGCTGAAATTGTTTCTTGGTGTATAGTGAGACATGCAGCCAGTTCTAAAAGGCTGTTTTTAGATCATGGACATATCTGCCAGTACAGATAAGGAGCTGCCTGCCAATTCCAAACATACACACACGACATTTACTCAATCACACAGAAACATAAACAAGCAAATAAACAACTTCCCCCTCCCCTAAACTAATCAAGCTTCTTCCCCTTCAGATCGAAGAGGAAGAAAGAAACAGCCTGCTATTGTTTTGGCTTGGTTTTTTCTTCTTTTCTATTTTTAAATACAACAAGGGCCTCACATACTATATTGAAGCTGGAGTTATTTGGATACATAAATCAAATATGCAGATGTAGGAGTTAGTTTAGCCCTATCTATCTGGAAAATATATGGAAATAAAATCATAAAACTTCTGCCAGCTTTGTTAAATGAGATTGGAATCCATCCATTATGTGGGGGCCTTCGGTCTTCCCACTATGAATCAACAAAATCAATGAATGTTGGGCTTAATTGGCCAAATTGATTGTATATGAAAACTGATTTAATTACTTCATTGTCATTATAGTAGGGATAAATTTGGCTAAGTCACTTTGATTTTAAAATGCTGTCTTTCTGTAGAAATTTAGGAGTTATGGAGGGCGTTGGGGAAGGACCTTGTTTAAGATTCACAGTGATGATTGTTTTGGCTTGATAAGCCTGGCCCTGTTTTCCCTGCCTTGAAACTTTCTCTCTTCTGTTGAATAACCTTCAGAATTTAATTTAACTGAATTGAAGAAAAAGTGCCCTGAGACTTTCTGTGAGTATTTAAGTAGTGGATAACATGAATTTTTAAGCTGACATAACAAGTCTTAACATGGCTTCTGATTCATTCCTGACATAGCTGGGCATAATACTGGAGATGTTAGAAGTATTTGGAAGATAGCACTGCCAGAGAATGTGCCATAAATATAAAAGAGAATAATTAAATTAGATCCTCTCAGGATGAACATGCTAGCTGAGACCAGAGTGCATGTACAGTATATTAAAAATAAATACTTGTACTGCACAGGCAGTGATTCAGCTGCCTTTTGAATTCAGTGAAAGTTTTAACGAAACTAATTTCAGTGAAGCTACCCATGTGAGTAAGTTATTCTCATGCAGAAATGGGTTCACAGAGTCACTGACTTATGTCTGACCTGAAGCCAGGTAGGTGCAATAAGACTGAAACCAGCCATTTTATTTCTTCTATTATTTGTGTTTCAGTGGCTGAGTCAGGTGGCTGGAGTTCTCTTTTTACTTCTGATGTAATGTTGAAAAAGTCATTTCAGCATGGTGTGCCACAGTTTCATTAGTTACAAGTATGAACAGCAGTACATAACCATCTTTGAAAAGAGCTTTGAGATTTGTAGACTAAGCATGAGAGTGAAAAGTATTTTTATTATTTTCACTGTCAGAATTCACCAAAATCAGGTTTGTCCTCTTTTGCAATATTCATGCAAAGTTCCATCCAACTGGTAGTTTGAAGTTATAAACATGTATCCTGTAATGCTGAAAAATAACATTATTTAAGATGAGCTAAATGGCGTTGTGTTAAACAGCACATCAGAAGTAATTAAATTTTATCTGGTTTTTTTTTTTAATGGCTACCATAAAGAACTTTGTATCATCGATTTTGTTTATGTCGTGATTATCTGCATCTCTGGATTTCACTGAGTAAAATTTCTTGAGCTTTGGGCCAATACTTTGTAAGGCTGCCCATACATCAGCAAAATGGTTGGGAACTCCAGCCCACTGAGCGGGATTCAGTTCCAGATTAAGACCTTTGCATTCAGACGTCTCCGTGTGAAATACGGAACTGTGCTGTCATTAGAGTCGATGGAGGTCTGGTTTAAGCTATCACTAATGCCTCCGGAATGACCTGACCAGCTAGTGGAGACTGGTTTCAGCCATCTAAACAGAGGTATCTAGCATCACTTTTAGGTGGTGTGAACCTGGCCTGTAGTTGTCATTCATGAAAGTTGTGGGTCTCCTCTAGGTCCCTTGTCATACCTGCCTGCCAAATGTAGATGCCTTAGACATCCTGGGGCATTCGATGGCGGGAGATGACAGTAAGGCAGCTGTATCCCTCCACTTGTTTCAGTTACCATCACGTAGGCTCCTAGTGCCATCTGAGGTAAAAGAGGCAACCTAAGACCCCTGTGTGGGTCTGGCAGATATGGTTGAAACTGGGAGAGAAATATGGCCTTCTGGAGTGGCAGCTGAGAGCCAGCAGGATACCCTGGGAACTGGCTAGAGCTAGGTGTCTGCCGGAGTGATTGAACTGAGTTCTTGGACTCTGATCTAGGTTGTGCTGAGCTGCTCTCCAGGCTCTGCTGACTGTGTTGACTAGATAGATCACTATTGATTATAATGGAAAAACATCTAGGTCATGTGAAACTGTGTAAATATGGGCTTGTTAGTCCTAGACTGAATCATAACTTTTTTTTTTTTTCCTTTCTATTTTGGACACATTAGAATAGAATATTTCAATTGGTAGGGACCTACAACAATCATCTAATCCAACTACCTGACCACTTTAGGGCTGACCAAAAGTTAAAGCATTATTCTAACCTGCAAGTAATCCTTTCCTAAAATATACCTTATTTTCTTTTATAGCACATTCTATCTGTCGTTCTTTTTCCTGCAGATTTGTTTTCTGTAATAAAAAATGGTAAGATACCACTTTCCAAAGTGATGTTTCCAGACATCGCTTTCTGCTATAGAAAAGTGAACTGCATCAGTGGCTGTCAGGGAAAGAAAATATGGTAAAAAAAGTCTGTTTGACTGAAAATTCATTTACTGTTTTGCATAGACTGAAACTGTGCAGTGCAAAATGGCCACAAACAATCAGATGTGCTTGTGTATCAAATTAGTATAGTATCAGGTTTGAATAAAATATGACTTGTAACAAATGCGAATATGGCATTAGGCAGATAATGCAGTGTTATAAAAACACTCAGGACGCATCTCTGGTTCATCTGTCCAGAAATGAGGAGAGGTGGTAGAAGCAGTCTTTTCCTTGCTCTCCTTCGGCACGCTGCTGCACTGTCTAAATGGATACCAGGATATTGGAAGTAGGAGTTGCTCTGGAGACCCAAGTCTGTTACCATAAAATTTTGTGATCAATGTTTTCTGGAGTAAACTGACTTCATCTTTCTCTTGGTCCCAGCACTTCCCAGCATGGGAAGTCAGTGGAATATTTTCTAGTCTGTTGCCAGATAAGGCCAGTGGAAATCTATTGGGTAAGGACTGCAGGTTCTGATGCATAGTGAACTCAACAGATGTCTACAGGAGCGTGCCCTGTAATCCACTAGAGATGTTTGGGAAGGTCTGCTTGGCATGAAAAGAAGTTGTTGGAAAAGCCTTTTACTTGTGCAGTGAGTCCTTGGAGTTTAAATATGTTACCTCATTGCCTTTCAAAATGGCCAAAGCAGATGTATGGGAAAGTGTCTTCTTTTTCAAGAAGATTGAAGTTTCTCTATTGGGTGCTGGGAGGAATTTTTCGTTGCATGTATTTGTGATACGTGCAAATAAGATGCATCTGAATAAATAAGGCAGTTAAATGCTTAGTTTAGTGTCATTAAAGCTATACTTCAAGGGTAAGCTGTAGATTTTTGAAGCTAACAAGATTTGTAATAAAAGTTAGGATTTTTCAAAGGCATCTCTGCAATTTGTCTACCATGTTTTCAAAGTTCCATAAAAAAACCTCAGCCTTCATTTACTAACTTATAGTAACTTCCAAAGTGTTGCATGTGTTTTCTTACCCACCAGCAGCCAAGGAAACATTCACCACCAAGCCTGAACTTTGCAAGTCCTCGCAGTTCATATGGACGGACAGAGCCATTGTATCTCCATCGCCATCTCCACTGATGTTGATGCACCAGCTGCAATAATATTTCAAGTCAATCCCTGATTAGTTAGGGGAAGGTCAGCTATTTCTGACTGGCCTTGCCCAGACAGAGAAACAGAGTGAAGCTCTGCCATCAGTGTCCTAAAATAGAAGCCCCTTTTCATCTGTCAGGCGTGAGTCAGCCACATGGAACACAAATTGGGAGAAACAAATCCACTCACAGGGCACCGGGAACACAGGCATAAAGTCAAGTGAAGAGAAACTTCTTCATATATGAGTTATATTCTCCAAAAAGCTTTTTAGTCACTTTCCCCCCAAAATTATTTATTTTACTGCTTCTTCTTAAATAATTAAAAAAAAAGTAGTTCCTTTTTTTTTTTTTTTTTTTTGTTGAAGGTAACTTTGATAATGAAACTGAGTGTGGGGATATTTTTTGGAGGCTTCTTTGCAGCTCTGGGGGTTTTGCTTTTTTTGGTGGCATTTGGAACTGATTATTGGCTTCTTGCTACAGAAATAGGAAGGTGTTCGAAAGTGCCCGAAGATGCTGGGGTTAGTATGGACATTTTTATTTATAATGTGAATTATATTTCTTGGATGTGTTTGTTTTGTAAGAATTTACTTATGTATGGACTTTTGAATATACTCATTTTGACCTTCTGGAGGCTTACAAACCTGTTTCAAAACCTCTTGTAACCAGTTGTAATCAACTCTGAAATGAATTTGTCTTTTGTGATACTACTCTTGCAATATGACATTCTTTCAAAGGAAGTATAGCTGTTTAGATATGCTATAGCTAATCTATATTCAGGCGGGCTGTGTTTCATTATGATGGTGATGGGTTTTACCTCAGCATCTAATTTCCATTGAACTTGATTCTTTAACCTATTTAAAAATTGTGTGATAATAGTTTCTTTTTTTTTTTTTTTTAATTTTATTCCCCCTGTAGGGAGAGAAAGCCACTTTCCATCATGAAGGTTTCTTCTGGAGGTGCTGGTTCAGTGGAAACGTAGGAGAGAATAATGCTAGCATGTGGAATTTCTGGTACAGTAAGTAACTTTTTCCTTTTACAATATCCAGAGTAGTTTGTTCTCAAAATTGTTGTGGCTTTTTTTTCCACCTTATGAATCACTGGACTTCATATGGCTTTGTTGGTGATCAGGTTCTTCAGCTACTCTAAAATAAATTCTTGACAAACATTTTTGTAATCTGTACTAAAGGAAACCCCAGGACAAAATCATATGTGTTTAACTATCAATTTACACTGTGAGTGTTACGGCTTCCTGTTATGGAAGAAGTTATGGACCTGAGTCCATTCTTATCAGGAGAGTCTCTTGCCACTTATTGTTAAACAGACTGTTTACTTCTGTAACATAGGGAAAAAGAGCTTAGCGGTTAGGACTGCCTATGAATTTTTGCTTGGAGAGCTTTTCCAACTAGTTCTATGAGTGGGTTAAGGAGGGCATGGGCAATTCCACTGTGAAAGTGGTATAGGACACATCATCTCCAGAAGAATCCCTCTACTAAATTCACAGCTGACCCTGTGCTTTCTTTCACTACGTGCCAGGATTCTGGAATATCAGATAGTATTTTACAACCAAAATCTTCCGTGAAGAACAGGTCAAGCAAAACTTCTTTTCCTGTCTTTGACCCTACCTCTGAGGTACAGACCTCCCGCTCCTTATTGCAAGATTTCCACAATCCTTGTGAAAAACAGATGCCATCATACAAATTTGACTTCAATAACCTGTATTTTGCTAAATATGTTGCTCTGTCTTCGGTGGCAAATGTAATATTCACTGTAGTTAATTTCCCCTTGTTATTTATCTGGAGAATTCTGCGGTCAGGAATCTGAAATTTAAATATGGTTTAAGCTATATTCAGCCTTTATCTCTCACAAGGAAGAAGGTGATGTTTTTACAGGCATTTAATATAAAGAGTGAAATAACCCTTCTCTGGGGATATTGATTCCATAGACTAAACTCATATTTGTTGAGACAGTCAACTTTCTGAAGATGCTTGATATATTTCATTGTTCTTTCACAAGAGAAAAAGTAATTTCCTGGATTTTTTTTCTTTTTTCTTTTTTTTTTTTTTTGGTGGGACAAGCAATAATGAGGCAAACATCATTAACTCTCACAAGAGAAAGGTACATGTGCATATAAAAGCATATGTATGCATTGCATAAAAATTGCAGCATGCCAGGTTCTTGCCTTCAGCAAGGTTGCTTTACTGTTCCCATAGCATAAATCTGTGTTGCCCTTTAAGGAATATCCTTAGCTGGATAACAAGGCTGGTATCTCTTACCAAAGCAAAATCTACTGTAAAGCTCTTGCCTTTGAAAGGACGTGGGATCTTGACCTACAAAACTCAGTTTGCCCATTTAAAGAACACGCTTAAAATATTTTATTGTTAAGGCAGTAAAATATTAATCTTCAGCTTTCTTTCACTTTTAGCTAACCAGTCACCTTCTAAGAACTGTACACATGCTTACCTGTCACCATTTCCCCTTATCCGAGATGAACACAATTCAACCTCCTATGACTCTGCAATCAGTAAGTATATTTTGGCTGCAAATGGATAGGGGCAAGTGCCTGTAGTTTCAGGAAAACAACTGGGATGCTTCAGTGTAGAACAGCCTTATCGCTCCACACAGTTTAATTAATAGAGTTTGGTGTTTCATACTTCTCATAATTTTACAACATGCATATTTAAGCCACTGTTTAGCAAAGCACTAAAATGCTTTAAGCATGATGGCAGAATGGAAGTCATTTCTAAAAAAAGAGACATTTCCTTTTTCAGTGCTTTTTATCCAACATAAAAAGTATCTTCCTTAGGCTGAATGAATTAAACAAGTATTTATCCTCATGTATTCCAATAAAACTGTTTTTTTGTTAATAACCACATGTGGAAATATATTGCTTTTTTACTTCATGAGAAAGGAAGAGAGGGGCCTTGATACTGTCTTAATTTTATTCAACTAACTCGGATATAGTTCACCGACCGCTGAATGTGCCATCTTCTCTCCATTGATACTAGAGGGAGCTGAGGCACTGAAATTACTCTGAGCAGTGTGTGCCATACATACATGAATAATGTAGCCTAAGGTTGTAGCTATGGGCAGTTTTATTTTGTGAACTAAGCTCTTTTAAAATACATTTTTTTTCTATAATAGTTCAAAATACTATGTTAAACTGCGATATTAACAACAAGAAACTCTAGTGTAGTAAGAGATATGCATATATATATGGAAGATATCCAGTAACTGAAAAACTTATGTTTGAGTAATGCCTGGAAAGCTGTTTTTACAACTCCACTTAAAAATATTGGTCACATTTCATCAGATCAAGGGCTTTATGCAAATGTATTTGAAGTAAATCACTTCTGATACCTATTTCATACGACTTTTTAAATAACACGTTATGTGTGGATCCTGCTGACTCAGTGACTGAAGTGATCCCTTCCTGTCCTGAAGCTGTAATTATGCCTTTGCTAACTTTGAAGTGGCTTCAGAATTCAATTTTTATGCTGCAGACGTGAACAAAAAATAAGTCGGACTGATAATGGTTCCGTTAATCTTTAGAAATTATGAACTGTTTGTCCAGGCAGAATTCAGACCTCACTCTTCAGGGATCTAATCCATAACTTTGCAGCACATCTAGAACATTTTAGCTTTCCATTTGAAAGTGACAGTCACCAGCTCCTAATAATCTAGACAGTTTGTATTCCACCATTCACTCATACATTCGCAAAAGATCCTCAAATCATATTGCATGATTACACAGAAGTGGACAAACAAAGAATAAGGAAAGGAGAAGGAATATCATCAAAAGTTTAATTAATTTTAGTTAATGTTTGCTAAAAGAGCCACTGCTCAAATATAATTTTCCTATCTGTATTTCATATTAGGAGATTAAAAATAGACAGAACTGTACTATCGATGCTGGCCCAGGTAGAGGATATTCAGAGCCACTCCTGCTATATAAATAGATACAGTTGGATTGCTTCTGAGCTCATTAAAACTGAAGAGGGTTTGTTTTTTTTTTTATGCCTCTGGTTCATTTTCAGCATCCAAGCTCATTTACTAGACCAGGTATGCTTGTTCAAGAATCTTTCGCAACTTTTTATGAAGAAGGTTATGTTGTCATCTCTTCTGTTAGTTCAAAACTTGTTTCTCCTTTAGTCTAGTTTGACAGTCCTGCCCATGATATTTGGCAAACAAGTTTTTAAAACCTCGCTGCAACTGCAGTTGCTAAATTAAGAAATACTAGAAGGTTATCCTCTTCTTGATTCACAGTGGAGGAAATGCTTCTCTGTAAAAGCCCCCCAATTTCATGAAAAACAAGATTTCATCAACTATTTGTACATCCAGTTGGCTGCATCAGCCTATATCAGCTAAACATCGAAAAAAAAAGGGCACTACCAAAAGATTGAGGTTGTTGTCCCTTTTTTTGGTTGTGCTACTATTTCTTGATACAATATTACCATTTTCATGGCTCAACATACTGACTTTTGGGGATAAAAAAATCTACCATGCAGGTTTATGATTGTGTTTTAGTGCGTCTCTGAAGTCCTATTCTAATTAGGAGTGGATAAGAAGAAATATTCTGTCATCTGAAAAATACTTAGATGGCTCTTTCATAAAAAAATAAACAGCTGAATAAAAAGCTTTAAACCTCATTAGAGAAATCAAACATATATGTACAACATATTTTTCTCTAAAAATCTCTAACTTTTTGTTAACAGAACTGTTAGTTTCAGAGCAAGCAAAGACACGTGACCTCTTTTACAGACTGTTTGGCTTAAGAGACTTTGGGACCTTATCAGAGGAATTTGGATTTAACTGCAGTCCCTAGAGGAAACACAAGCATGGTTTGTTGGTGGAGTGCCATGTTACCATCCAGTTAGAAGGGCTCGGGCAAAGATAAGTTTCCTGAGGAACATAAAATCTCTGATGATTTTTGAGTGCAGTGACTGGACCAGGTTCTCTGTTGACATAACTCCTTTGGCTTTAGTATTGCTAGGAATTTGGCTCAGAGCTTTACTGGGCCAGAATTCAAAAGAGGCTCAATCTATCCCCGCTTAGCTTATTTACATCTTTTTGTGTTTTGGTTTTATGTTGTTTGTGTGATAGTTCCCAAAAGACTCAAACACTGAAGACCTTCAGGTTTACTGTTTTAGTACACTTTACAAAGCTTTGGACCAAAGGCTTGGTTCATCCTGCTGTGCAAACCTAGAGTAGGAGCCCTTGGTGTCAAGAATTATAGCCTTAGATGGAAATGTAAAGACAGAAGAGCCTACAGTGATGCTTATACTCGGGATCTGAATGCGTGTTTTAATGCCTCGGGTTTCTTTTCATCATTACTGTCAGATGCATGATCAGCTTCGAAAGGTTAGATAGCACTGCTTTGAAATTGCAGGTTTTGGTATCTTTTAATCGCAGTTATAATGGTTTTGTTCATTCACTGGTTTTGTTAAATATCTTGGCGGAGTGGGGAGGACTTCACCTACCTGCAGCGTAAGGTGTGCTCCACAGCGGTGCTAACCATCCTTTATGGTTAATGCGCTGATAGAAATTTGCAGGCCATGTCATTTAGCCTGAAATAGGCATCTAAATGAACTCAGGGGAAGCCCGATCTCCTGACTTTCTGTGATGGTACAGTGGTTTATCATGACAGCTATTATAGTGTGCAGCTATTAAGGAGACTTAGACAGCACCTCATTGTGTTGCCAGCACATTCATTTATCTGGTGATTCACAAACATCTGTGAACAAACTACAAGCTAGGAATCAAAAAAAAAGAAAAAAAAGTAATTAGCCCATACAATAAAAGTGCCAGAGTAGTGACCTCTACATTCTAAAATAAACATACATTTGTATAATCATCATCAGATTGGTTATCGCATCAGGCTTTTTTGAAAACATAACAGTATAGTACTTATATAATAATTCATTGCTAGCTAGATTAATACATGGTATCATGTCATTAGATTACTTAACGCTGACATTCAAGGATATCACACTTTTATAAAATTCCCTTTTACTACAGGACAATACTAGGACCATTTGCAAAAAATGTTCAAAGTCCTTACAACGTACAAGTAGTCCCATTGGCTATGGTAAGACTATTCCTAAGAAAAAGAAGTGCAAGATCTAGCACTTAGTCAGGTCATTAATTTTATTTTTGAGGGTTTTTTTTTAACTTGATTTGGAAATAAACAATAGTTCCTTAACTGTTGTAAATTGCTCCAGCACCTTCTGAAGCTAAATTCGAAGGCATTTAATTGAGCTGTGCTGACACATTAGTTTAATACTCTGATTTGTAGTTGCTAGTACTTTTTTTCCTGACCATTAGTATCTTATTTTGTCCAGTACTGGGCACATTACCAGCATTTGAAATAGTGCCTCATATAATGTAGAATACAGAATGTTTATAAGACTGAAGCAAAAGTCTCGTTCAGCAACTATTACATCTAAAATGGTGTGGTCAAATTTATTGGCAGGTTTCTTACTAGGCTGAAATTAACCTAAAGTAATCTAGAAAATATCAGCAATGAAATCTGAAAATAAAAAAATGTATAGTGAAATGTTAGCAGTAGCCTATTTCTAGGGAAAAAAAAATGCTGTTATGTAATACAGTCACATAATTGGCCATGAGAGATTGTAATACAGTACATTTACTAAGGGAGAACTCCCCAGCCACCAAGCGGTGATAAAGCAAGGGGTATTTAAAAAGGCAATGTATTCATACTGTGAATATTGTATTTGTTTTACTGTTAAGGTTTTGTTTTTTTCTAGATATTATTACTACTACGGGATAGTAAAGGTACTGCGGTGTCCCTGCTCACTGTGAGGGGGTTGGACTAGATGACCTCTAGGGGTCCCTTCCAACACAAAACATTCTATGATTCTATGATTCTATGAAACTGAGAAAAGTTTTGCAAGGTTTACTATGTTGCCAGGTGTGTCTCCTGCGCTGCTGATGAGATGTGTGACCCCATTTACAGCTGTTTATCTGCAGAGAAGATACCCCCTGATTTAGAGCGGGTCAGGCACTTCACCTTTCATTGTATTTTATATTGTGGGTGGTCTTTGGATACCTCTTGTCAAAAGCATTTTGATATCTCTTACATTAAATAGAGAGGTAAAAAAGACATATTCTAAAATACAATCCACAGTCAAATCATAGGAAAAATTCATAGAATCATAGAATCACTTTGGTTGGAAAAGACCTTTAAGATCATCGAGTCCAACCTTTAACCTAACCCTGCCATCCCACCACTAAACCATGTCCCTAAGCACCTCATCTATCCTTCTTTTAAATACCTCCAGGGTATACTTCAGGATGTGAGCTTGTGGGTGGAAATTCAAGGCAACTCTTGTAAGTCATTTTGCCTATCCTTAGTAATGTTTATGCAGCACTGTACTTACACATACTTCAAAAAGTGTTTCAGCTTTGTAGTGCTTAATTCATGTTTGATATTAATTTCAATATTAAGTGGCTGGGTGTTTTTTTTTAATGGATCATGGTAAATGTACAGGCTGATGGCTGAGATTTTAAAATACTTGAAGTCAACAAGGGCAATAAAATACGTGGTATGGTTTCATGAGGTTGGTGTTAAGGTCTCTGGTTGTCAATGGGTGTCGAATTGTGTCGTTAGCTAACATATTCTTGAATAACCCATTACAGAGCTTCTGATGTGTTCACAGCTACTACACAACAAGTGTGCATTGCAGGTGACACAGCTGTGTAACTTTGTCAAGTATATTATTGCTTCTCTTTCATATCATGCACCAGCAACATGTTAAAATATGAATCTGTGTCTTCAGTGTATAATCAATGCTGGGATCTACTCTACTAGAAAAGGGGGCTTTTGATAATTTTCAGTAATTTCTCCAGAATTCAGTCCCTTTCTCAAAACCAGTTACTTCTTCCAGTTTTCAAATGATGCAGAAGTCTCCAGAGGAATCTAAATTAGGATCTTTAGGGAGAAACGCAAGTAGTAATGGAAAATTACAGGTCACGCAATTTTGGAGGAATATACTGCAGCTATAATGTTCCCATAGTACACAGGCTGAACAGTGCAGAGCTCAAAGAGAAGCATACTGTGTGTACTGTTTTCCTCTAAGTCCTATTTTATTTTTAGGCCTGCCTGTCACCGCCAAGCCAAATGTTGTACCCCAACGAAGGGGCAGCTTACCAAGAGAAGTTACAGAACCTTCTGTTTAGCACTCTTGCAACACAGAGCAAGGGTATCTAAGATTAACACTGCAGATAGTTTTACCTCGGACTCTGCGGTAGTGCTCGTACTTTATTTCTTCCAGTGCAGGAAACACTTGGAATAATGCATGTACTTGAGGTAGCTAGCTCAAACACATCCATGAAGTACCTTGCAGAGGTGAGGGTACTCCTTGTCAGGTGGATCAGAACATGGGCTATCTTATGAACTGCCTTAGTGAGACTGGAAATGGTGCGAACTTCTCTTAACACCTTGTATAGGTACACTGAACTATTATTTCACAGTGTCATCCATTTTCATGGGATATAAAGAAACATAATTCAAAGCAGCATCTTCTGTTGTGGTTTATCTGTCATGGTTCACCTCAATCTCAGAGCAGCAGTCTTTGACTTGAAGAGTAAGTTCATTCTTAGGTGGTTTTAATTTCAGCAAGCTCTTTTGTGTTCATCTATAGATGCCAGCTGAGCTAAACGACAGCAGTAGGGCTGCATTGTAATTTTGAATGATTAGCCCTGCAGGAAATGATCTTGCCCATCTAGGCAGAGAAGATGGGAAACATGGTCTGAGCAAAAATGGTGTGAGTATGAAATAAGTGAAGCCTTCTTTGCGGAAAATTGGTTGCTTTTTAACTTCCTTACTAAAGAAAAAGCCTAAATGCTCTTAGGATGTTTCCTCAGACTTGTGCCACAAATGACCCTAATGACATGCTGGCTTGCGGATTAGAGGGGTTAGTCTTTCACCTGAAAAGCTGCTGATTTGGAAACATTGCAGACTTCTTACCTGTCTTACCTTCTCCATTTTCTAATTGACATTTAATGATGGAGTTAGCTGGCTACACAAGTATTAGGATCATCAGCATTTATCTGTGATTCTCTAGAGTAAACTATTTCTAGAGAAATAGAATGGCATCTTATTTCAGATGATAGCTAGGTCAAATCAATATTTCACATATAATGCATAAAATAGTTATGCTGTTGGAGCAGAGAAACAGCTTTTCTCTTGTATAGTTACAGAGAAGTTTAAACAAATTTTCATCAGACACTTTTGTACTCCTTTTGTGTTCGGTTTCCAGGAATATTTGAACAAATCAAGCTTTTCTGGTAAAATTTCACTAGAAGCAGACTTCAAAGCTTCCTGTATGAAGAGTAGATAATGAAACTGTATACTAATTTTGTACTGCTGGAGAAGTTTGTGTCCTCATCCATTCAGAAAATAGAAGCACTACTGTATGACTTAGGTGACTGACCATAATGATATCGAAGAAAGCTTTTTCAAGGTCCATTTTGGCCAATGTGTCCTATTATGTAGCATGACTTTGAAGTACCTTGGGCCATCCATGTAAAAGAGTTGGGTGGTTATAGACTGATTTAGCGGTATTAGGTTTTAAATGAGGAACTAATGTCCCATGGACGTGGGGACTGCGATGAAGCTTAGCAAAGTAGTCCCATGAGTAAAATAATATGAAATTGCTTCAGAGACCCAAGACTGAAGGACTTGAGAGATTTACCTTTCTAGGTCTCCATTCACTGCCCATTTGCATTAAGTGAATCATTTAACTATGTGTTTAACTTTAAACAGGTGCCTAAATCCCGTAAGAGGTAGAGTACTTAAAGCTGAACGCACACTTAACTGCTTTGCTGAACCACAACCTTATTTCTTACCAACTGTTTCCATGTTTTTTTGTTTATGTGGCCAGAAGACTTTCATTGGATATGAACCAACACACCATTTTAACCCTTCTGCGAGCTACTTTCAGACACATTCATCCTTTCTGTGCCCAAATCTGCTGATCAGTGTAGCGGAAAATTATGTCTCTGAAAGTTTGCCTGGATTAAAAAAGGTGTTATTTAAAAAGCGTGGCTAATGTGGTGTGGTGAACGTGACCTAGCTAATACATTTACAAGGCTGATAGAAGCAAGATGGTGTATACTTTAACATGAGTTAAACTGGTCAAGTTAAAAACTATAGATTTTTGGAACACATTAGTGGGAAGCACAGGCTGCTAATGTCTAGTGCACCTTCAGATTTCAGATGAGAGCAAACCCGAATTATTCCCGACTAGCTGGCTCTAACAAGCTATATGAATTTGAAACCTTCAGGATATGAACCAGTATAATAGTTGCTTGGTTGTGTTTTGCCATAACAGTAAGTAGGTGCTGTCAAATGATAAGTGGCAGTTTCTTTTGTGACTCACTTTTCCTGACTTGCCAGCTGGCTTCTGTGCTTTCCCTCAGTTGGGTGGAAATGTTTTTCACTGACTGAATTGTCAGAGCCTCAAGATTTTCAGATCTGATGATGGAGATCTTTGCAACTCATAATTTTACTAATGGGTTGTGTTAATGTACCAATTTTTAAATTCATGGGAGAAATTTATGTCACTCTTGTAGCATTTGTAAAATGATGACTTTGTGAAATGGATGTGCAATTAACCAGCTAAAAAGTAATTGTTAGAAAGACTCTTTTGGCCAAAGTATGTCACAAAACTCTCGGCTCATTTATCACCAGCTGCAGCCATTAATTCAGCACTGCTTGGCACTGTCTAACAGAGACTTCTGAAACATCACGTTTTAAATTTAATAAAATACAAAGAGCTTTAGAGCAGCAATAGGCTGGTTTAAAATACTTAATGGTTTTCCAGAAACCCAGGTTACATTTTTTTTTAGTTTTTCCCCCTCTCCTGCTTTAGATTTTCTTCTGTTGAATGTGACTATATGTAAGGAGAATTATGCAGTTGTAAATTATAGAGAACCTACAGATTGCTGTTGGTGATACGGTCTGAGCACTAAGAATGCTAAGATGTTCCAGCTCTCTGCTTCTCCCAGACAATTTTGGTAAAACAGTTGTGTCCTGTCTGTCCAATCATTTATCCCAAAGAGTCATTGCTACAGCTTTGGTGTACCATTTTCTAAAGAGCATAAATTTGGTCAAGTTGCTATTTTACAAGTCACTCCTAAATATTAAGCAGATGGATTTCATTCATGGGAACTTACAATCTATTTTCCACGATCATGAGACTAGCATTCAAACCTAATTTGGTCCACATGGTATATAACATATATGCACAATAGAATGAACATTTCATTTGTTAATAAGGCAAGTGAAAAGAGAAGGGGAAAAGAAAAGTCTTTCTTAGCCAAATATGTCACTTGTTTAAGTTCTAAAAGGTGTTGTATTCTTTTTTTCCTTCTTCCCTCTATCCAGTTTATCGAGGTTTCTGGACAGTTCTTATGCTCCTGGGAGTGCTCAGTGTTGTGATGGCTAGTTTCTTCATCATCTGTGCAGCTCCTTTTGCCAGCCACATTCTGTACAAAGCAGGAGGAGGCTTCTTCATCATTGCTGGTGGGTATACTGTTTGCTCAGTCAATTAAAGAATAGAAACTATGGAGTATTTCTTCCATTTTCCTTGGCCAAAAACTCTATTAATCACGGTTAAAAGAAAGAAAAAGCATATGCTTCTATCCTTTGGCTTGTGGAGTGCCTGCCTTGGCGACAATGCTTTCTACAATTATTTAGTCATGACGCTATTCTATAAGCTACTTTTAGATTAAGATAAAAAAATCCAGAGCAAGTAATGGAATTACACTGCAAGTTCAATCCACTTTTTTAGCAAGAAAAAGCATGCATATTTAGGGATGCTGCCTTATAGGATTCTCAAGGGCTTTAGCTAAGGAGAGAGGTTTTTTAATCAGTGACACAAAAGATGATTATGGTGGGCTCTAAAGAAGTTGGAAGACGCAGCACATTCGCATGACCAATATAGGAGAAATGTTTTGTATGTGATTGGATTACACAAACCAGTTGTCACATATGAGTAAGTGGAGCTCTAAACCTCTGTGAATGGAAGAACAAATAACTGAATTCCCTCCTTCCTCATAACCCACGCATACTACGGAGGATGCACCCCCCCTGGAATTCAGCAATTCAGCTGATACAGGCAGCTCTCTGCGATGCTGTTCTGTTAACCTCCAACATTCTGGGAAGATGTCACACTGGTGTGTAAGATACAATTGTGTAGAATGTAAATTATAGTGTGTGCTCAATCACTGTTCTCCTTTGTATAAAGCCTGGTGAGAGGCGGTCCTGTGAGAGCAGTAGTGTTGTGGGGTAGAGCCACTCGTGTCAGGACGAAAAGGCCTGGGTTCTCTTTCTGCTGCTGTTACTGACCTGCCAACCTTGCTAACCCACCTCACCTTGCAGCTCTGCATATGCAGCTAGTGATCTTTCTTCCCTTTTGAAGGACCCTCAGTGGAGTGTAGGAAGTATTTTATAATATTTTTGCAGGAAAAAACCTCCTGCAAACTTGCATTTGATCCCTTGAGAATTACTCCTTCACTGTCTTAAAATACATACAAAAAATATTCATAGTCAGATGGAAATCCTAAGACACTTCAATGCATTTTGTCACTAATATGCAGGGTAAGAACCCATGTGAGTCCTGCTCTTTTCCTGCATTTGTAATTTGTAAAAAACCTCAGTTGTCACTAGAAAGTAGTAGAGGCTGTTGGAGAGGAAACGGGCACTTGGAAGGCACCAGGAATGGATGGGCACAGGTCCGAAGTGATGTGTATGTTCTCTACTTTGTGTCAGTTCATCTGCCCTCATTTAGGCAGGGGAAAGTTAGATACCCAAGTCTACTCTAGTCTCCCTTGGCTTCCCTAGGAGGCCTGCAGGAGGCAATAACATTCATTGGCAGTCAAAGTGGTAGGTTTGTAAGGAGTGCCCTCAGCTGGGGATTCATTTCATCCTGAAAGAGGGGTCTAATATGGGTCAGATGAATGCGTTATGGGGGAACCCTACACCTCTGTTTCCTTTACTGAGGGAACCTAGAGAGACTATTTATTTAAGTGGGTGAAGTTAAGTGAGCTTTATTATCCCTGTGTGTGACCTTGGGCCTGCCTGTTTGCCCTTCTCACCCTTTATCCCTATAGAGTAGATGTTCTGCAAGGGAAATCCTGACTTTTTCTCTCTCTATGTATGTAGTACCTTTCAACTTCAGGACTGTTCCCAATCAGGGCTTTGGAGAAGAGCTGTGTTATTTTTGCTATTACTATTGTTGTTGGAAAGCAAAGATATTTAGCAAAACCCTGCTATGATTTGCCAAAAGGTAGTGGTGGCAGCAGAGTATAGGACCCTGGAGCCATTCAGCTTGCACAAGACATTTTGGCTTGGATAAAGGGATGCAGCTCTTGACCAAGCTCTTCTGCCTCTACTCCCAGTCACACCAAGTAGGGCAGGGCTTCTTGGAGAAGGTGCTTACTGTAAATATCATTATCCTATCCAACACTTCAGATCACACACAAAAACCTTAAAAAAAAAGTTTGTTGCTCTCAGGTCTTCTCACAAGTCAGTATACTCCCGTAGCCAAGGTGAGGGTTTAATTATATCCTGAATTAATCATGCTGGAGGGAGTGACCATACTGACATAAGAAGAGCTTATAAATACTTTGCATTGTCTGTAGTTAAAGCTATGTCCTGTGGGACATCTTGGACAACAACTCAGTTTCCTGTGGTCTTCCTGGGCAATGGCCCATCGTGTTAAATTGAGAGTAGGAGGGATTCTCAGACCCAAAGGTATGACAGCATGAAATTGGTCTCTCTCTTTCTCTCCCAATAGGAATTCCTCACAATAGTTAACATCTTAAATCTGGGATAAGCTGGGGGAAGAGAAAGATAAGGTAGAACCTGATGCAGAAGAGGAGTGGTTTAGCTTGCCACTAGAAGGCAGGGTGGTGTGCTCTACTGTGTTCCCTGCTGCTCTGAACAGGACTAGAGAGCCTGTTCATTTACTGCCTCCCAAAGGAAAACAGGACATGGAAGGGATGAGAAGTGGTGCATATTTACCACTCATACCAACATATGATCAGGATGCAGCCAGGGTGTGCATCTATTTGAACACAGACCTGATGGGAAAATGAAAACATGTAACGTGACTTAGATCATAGGTGAAGTTAGAGTTCTTGTAAGACAGGAACCAGCAAATTGATTTGAAGGAAAAAAGGAATTATATACATTGTTCTGAAAAGGCTTGGACGCTGTCTTACCATGAGGTTCAAGTAGCTGTCACGCTGGAGAGAATAGTAAGCTTCTGAGAAAGAAGTTAGACAAGGTGGTTGTCCTGTGGAAGTTTGGGAGAAGATAGGAACATCAGTCATTTTCCTATTTACATATATCTTTAACGAAAAATAATAGATGAAGCACTTTTAATACCTGTTATTGGACTGAAGTATCTGTATCCTTTTGCAACCTTAACTGACAAATTACATAGCAAATAAAAGTTCTGCCTCAGCTGTAGAAAACAGCTTGTAGAATGGTCTGCTGTGCCATCTTAGGGTTCAGAAAGCAGCTGAAGAAGTTATTGGGAATGGGATTCATGCCAACTATTTAGCTATCCAAAAGCTGAGTGTTTTGTATGACCCAACTGCTTAAACTTCTAGTGTCAGTAGTAAGAAACACACTCGCAGAGGGCAATCCATGTTATCTGTGCTAAGGCAGATAGACTTGCCTTCTGGAAAGACCTATGGAAGGAGCCTAAACAGAGATCCTGACTAACATAGAATAAGTTTAGGGTGCAAAGGACGTCTTTTGGCAATCAAGTTTGACCTCCCTTTCAAAGCAGGGCTGCCTTCAAAGTTAGATCAGGTAGCTCAGAGCCTTATCCAGTCAAGTTTTAAAAATCTCCAATAATTGATATTCCAAAGCAGATTTGGGCACTTGTCCCAGTTTGACCAACTTTACTGTGAAAAATGTTGGGTTGGGTTTTTTTTTTTTTTTATTTTAAATCCACCTGAAATCACCCTTGCTGCAGCTTGTGGCCACTGTGTCTCATTCTTCCAGTGTGCATGTCTCAGAAGAGTCTACCCCTATCTTCTCTGTAACTCCATTTAGAAAGATGAAGACTGTTTTCTTCTCCAGGCTAAACCTCCCCAGCTCGCTCAGCCTCTTCTTGTCCTCCATCCCCCTAACCATTTTGGTGGTCATCACCTTGGTTTGTCGGTATCTCTCTTTCACTGAGGTGCCTCAAACTGGACACAGTATTCCAGGTATAATGTCACAAGTGATGAGTAAGGGCAAATAATATTATTTTCAAACCTGATGACTGTCTTCTTGCTGATGCAGCTCTGCATGAGGTTAGCTTTAATTTTTGCCAGACCTGCTTGAATTCTTGCACATTGAGAGGGACCATTCTTGTGCTTTAAGGAAGTTGTCTGTGAGGAGCAAACAGTTCTTCCAGGCTCCTTTGCTGTTCAAGGCACCCTTTGTCCTTCAGGGCAGCCTCCCTTGGGATCCTGCCTACCATTTCCATGAACAGGCTGAAGTCTGTTCTCCTGAAGTTCTGGGTCTTTAATCTCCTAATCACCTTTCATATTCCTCCCAGGATACTAAACTTTGCCATTTCATGGCCATTATAACCACAGCTAACACCACCTATCATACTGCTAACCAGTTTTTCCTTGTTTGTGGGTAGCGGGTCCAGCAAAGCCCTTCCATTATTTGGTCTGTTCCACACCTGTTTCAAAAAGATATCCTTGATGCCGTCCAGCTACCTACCTCCTGGATTGCTTGCTCTCTGCAGGGGTGCCCTTCTAGAAGATATTGGGGTGGCTGAGTCCCTCATGAGAACCAGAAATCATAACTAGTTTTCCAGTCCACTTCCTCCTCTTGATTGGGTGGCCTTTAGCAGATGCCCACCATGACCACACCCTTTTTGACCACCTTGATGATCTTAACTGATAAGCTCTTGTTACTCTAGAATATATCTGTCCATTCAAGATACTTCTTTGTGCAGACTGTAGCCATCCCCACCCCATCTTAACTGCCCGTTCTTGAAGAGTCTGTAGCCATCCAGGAAAGCATTTCAAGCAAGCAAGCTGTCTCACCATGTCTGCAGCAGCATTATCCATCATCCAGCGACTGCATGAACTTGAATTCCCCCTGTGTTACACCAATACTGAATTCATTCATGTACATACATTAGAGATGGGCTTTCACTTGTGCTGCTTTCTCAATGGAAGTGTATGAGCTTCTCTGATTGCCCTGTCCCATGCATATGCTCTACATTCCCTTCCCCCTGCTTATCTGGGGGCTTTGATGTCCATCTGCCAATGGTTCTTGCTCTCATCTCTTCTTGCAACGTTACTGAGCTTGTCTGATGGATCTCACCTCTCCCCAGCAAGCCTCGAAGAGGGTCCCATGGTCACAGAAGCCAAAGCCCTGCTTGTGACACTAGCTACAAAGCTAGAAGCTGATGCACAGTGTATGCCAGATTTTGTACATATTTTATCCTTTGGGCAGCAGGTTTGAGACCATCACCACCTGGGCCCCCAAGCCCTTACCTCTCA